CCGTTCTCCCACCCCAACCTCTGGACCGTCTGACTCCCGATGAGAGAAACTGAGTCTCAGAAATGTAGAATGGTCCATTCCCGTCTGCTCAAGTCTCTTCACTACAGCACTAAATATCTTTACCGCACTGATGATGTTACCTAGTTGGGCCATGAAAGGTCTGCTAGAAAACAATCAAGCTCAGAGAGCCCCTCACGGTTTTACGATAGTATAGGTCAGTGGTTCTCAAACTTTCTGATGCCGCTACCCCCTAATACAGTTCCCCATGTTGTGGTGACCCCCAACCACTTATATATCACCGGGTGCCAGGGGCATGGCCAAAGAAAAGGGGGAAAAATGGCGGACAGCCTTGTTTGGCGACCCCCGTGAAATGGTCATTCGACCCCAAATGGGGTCCCGACCCACAGGTTGAGAACCACTGGTATAGGTTGAGGTAGGCAACCTTGGCTCTTTTATGACTGGTGGACTTCAACTCCCAGAATTCCTCAGCCAGCGTGGGGAACTAGGGCCCCTTCATGACTCCTGGACTTCAACTCCCAGAATTCCTCAGCCAGCATGGGGGAACTATGGCCCCTTCATGACTTGCGGACTTCAACTCCCAGAATTCCTCAGCCAGCATGGGGGAACTATGGCCCCTTCATGACTCCTGGATTTCAACTCCCAGAATTCCTCAGCCAGCGTGGGGGAACTGTGGCCCCTTCATGACTGGTGGACTTCAACTCCCAGAATTCCTCAGCCAGCATGGGGAACTAGGGTCCCTTCATGACTCCTGGACTTCAACTCCCAGAATTCCTCAGCCAGCATGGGGGAACTATGGCCCCTTCATGACTTGCAGACTTCAACTCCCAGAATTCCTCAGCCAGCGTGGGGGAACTGTGGCCCCTTCATAACTTATGGACCAACTCCCAGAATTCCTGAGCCAGCATGGGGGAACTATGGCCCCTTCATGACTCAGCTTGGAAACCTCTCTCTTTCCCCTCAACATGGCTGGCTCAGGAATTCTGGGAGTTGAAGTCCACGAGTCATAAGGCAGCCTAGGCCTAGGGCAGGGGTAGGCAACCTGGGCTCTTTTATGACTCATGGACTTCTGCTCCCAGAATTCCTGAGCCAGCATGGCTCAGCTTGGAAACCTTGACTTACAACAGTTGACTTACAACAGTCCTCGAATTACAACAGTGACATTTAAAGTGACAACAGGTACTGAAAAAAGTGACTGATGTTTTTCACACTTACAACTGTCTCAGCGTTCCCCATGGTCATATGATGGACTGTCACGGGGTCCAGGGGGCCCTGTGATCCCCTTTTGTGACCTTCTGACAAGCCAAGTCAATGGGGGAAGCCGGATTCACTTAACGACCACGTTATTCACTTAACAGCTGCAGTGATTCGCTTAACATTGGCAAAAAGATTGGAAAATGGGGGAAAGCTCACTTAAGAACTGTCTCACTTAGCGACAGAAATTTTGGCTGTGCTGGCAATAAGGACTACCTCACCCATACTCCCAACTTCAAAGAGGCACGAAGTGGCCTCAGACCTCACCGTACTTCAAGCATCCAGTTGCAGGGGGTGGACTAGATGTCCTCTAGGGATGCTTTCCAACTCTAGGACCTGAAGCAGCTGCTTGCGTCCAGGGTGCTGCCCCCTTCGCCGCTGTTCAGAACAGATGATCTGGCCTCCCTTGCAGCCCCTTCTGAAATGGGCACAGGGTCTCCTGCTTGAGCAGGGTGGGGGTGGACTAGATGACCTCCAAGGTCCCTTCCAACTCCATTATTCCGCTATTCAGAAGAAAGAGGAAGTTGCAAAACTGCAAGGCCAGCAGGAAAGTTGAGGCAGGTTGTGGTTTGAGGTGGGCAGTTATTTATGGGGGGGATGCCCTCCCTCCCCCAGCTTCTTCTTCCTCCTGCTGTGGGTGGCTGGCTGTGGGGTGAGGTTTCCTCCCCCCGCCCCTCCCCACACACAAACACCCAGAGTGGCTGGGAAGGTGTCAGCTATGGGAGAGTCCCGGGTTCGAGTTTCTGTTCTTGGCTGGAAAGGAAAACCAGCTGTGGCAGGAGCTCGGCCAGCCGGCTGGCCGCCTCCACTTTGCTAAGAACAGCCCTGGGAAACACAAAATAGCAGTTGTGTCATTTTGCAAAGCCTCCTAATTACTTGCTTTCCCTGGCTTATGATGGGTTTGCAAAGAGTCCCTCTTCCGATGGAGCCTCCTGCAAGGGTGTGTGTGTGTGTGTGTGTGTGTGGAAGATGGATGAGATCCTCTGGTGCTTTGGGGGTGTTGTGAGTTTGTGTGTAGTATGTGCAACTCTGGGCCCAACGAAGACCATCCCTTGAAGGGGAAGCCCCATTTTTTTTCTGTTCTTGCTCAATCCCTGTTGGGCTCTCATGGGGTGACGTGATAGCAGTCTTCCAAGATTTGGGGGGCTCACACAAAGAGGAGGGGGGGTCGCCTCCTCTCCAAAGCCCCTGAAGGCAGGACGAGAAGCAATGGATGGAAAGTCCTTAAGGAGAGAAGCAAGCTGGAACTAAGGAGAAAATTCCTGACGGTGAAGACAATTAACCAGTGGAACAGCCTGCCACCAGAAGTTGTGGGTGCTCCATCCCTGGAGGTTTTCAAGAAGAGACTGGACAGCCACCTGTCTGGAATGATATAGGGTTTCCTGCTTGAGCAAGGGGCTGGACTAGAAGACCTCCAAGGCCCCTTCCGGCTCTATTTTGATTGATTGATTGATCTTGACTTCAAAAGCCCCCCCAGCATCCTCACAATCAAATCTGCCCCATAGTGGAAATATCTTTCTGTCTCTGAAGGTGGTGGGTTTCCATTGCTAAAGGTTTTTAAGGTGAGGCTGGAGACCCCCCCCCTCTCAGGAAGATCTCATGGGGTGTGCTAGATGACCACCAAGGCCCTTGCAATTTAGCAAGTCCTTGACTTACAACAGTTTAGTGGCCGTTCGAAATTACAACGGCACTGAAAAAAGTGACTTATGACCATTTTCACACAACCGTTGCAACCTCCCTGTGGTCACGGGATCTAAATTCAGACGCTGGCACCCGACTCGTACTTACGACGGTCACACAGTGTTCCCGGGGAATCACGCGATCCCTTTTTGCGACCTTCTGACAAGCAAAGTCAACGGGGGGGAATCTGGATTCATGCAACAACCACCTTACTAACTGAACTGCAGTGATCCACTTAACGATGGTGGCTAGAAAGGTCGTAAAATGGAGCAAAGCTCACTTAAGGGCTGTCTCACTTAGTGACAGAATTTTGGGCTCTGTTGTGGTCGTAAGAAGAGACTGGACAGCCATTTGTCCGAAATGGTATAGGGTTTCTTGCCTGAGCAGGAGGTTGGACTAGATGATCTCCAAGGTCCCTTCGAACTTTATTATTATTATTATTATGGATCATCGCACAGTCAGCCAGATGTTCAGACTGGATTTGGCCTTTTGTCTACCTCTCGAGTCCTTACCCAGGACCTGGGATAGGCAGATGTGGATGTTTGATGGTATTACAGATATCGTCGCAGGATGGAAGCAGTTCCTAGTAAGGCCGCCTTTTGCAATTGACTAATAGCGAATATGTCAATGCCAATGGTGTTCAAGTGGTGCTCCAGTTGTTTTGGGATTGCACCCAAGGAGCCTATGACTACTGGTACTACCCTTGCTTGCTTTTGCCACAGTCTTTCTATTTCTATGTCTTTTTATTTTGTTTTCTTCTTCTTCTTCTTCTTCTTCTTCTTCTTCTTCTTCTTCTTCTTCTTCTTCTTCTTCTTCTTCTTCTTCTTCTTCTTCTTCTTCTTCTTCTTCTTCTTCTTCTTCTTCTTCTTCTTCTTCTTCTTCTTCTTCTTCTTCATCATCATCATCATTATTATTATTATTATTATTATTATTATTTTATTACTATTATTTTCTCACAGGATGCCATGGGGCTGATCTTGAAAAATCAAAGTCAGGCAAGGGCTGCTTTATTCTAGGACAGGAGGCCACCAGGAGATTCCAGGGCTGGAATGAGAAGTTGAGCCCCCCCCCCAAATCTCCGAAGAAGGCAGGGTGGGGCTCTGGCAGTGCCCAGAATGCCATTCAAGGGGATCTCTTCTCTGCCCTCTTGTATTGGGGGAGGGAGGCTGTATTAGAAGGGGTCCAATCCCAGGTGATGCCCTCCAGGTGTCTGAAGGGGGTCTCCAGTGCTCCCCAAGTTCCTGAACAGGCACTACCCCACTAGTTCCTCCGCAGGCTTTGACTCCAGCCCAAGTGGGGGCCCCCGCAGCGAAATGCAACGGGGAAGGAGGGGGAGAAACCAGTCCCGTTTCTCAGAATCCGAACCCAGATCTTCTGGAGCAGGGCTGGTTCCAAAAGCCGCCCTGGGGGTTGGGGTGGGGTCAAACTCCTCTTAATAACAACAACAACAACAACAACAACAACAACAACAATAATAAAAGTTGGAAGGGACCTTGGAGGTCATCTAGTCCAACCCCCTGCTCAGGCAGGAAACCCTATCCCATTTCGGACAAAGGGCTGCAACGCTTTAAATCAGCCCCTCCAACATTCCGACGGAGGGGGGAGGGCGCCTCCAGCGGGACCGCAATAGGGGGGGTGCGGGGTTCAGTCGCCGCTCCCCCCACTCCCCCAGCCTTGCCCGGCCCGTCCTCCAGCCCTTCCGCTCCCCCGCTACCACCATCCGCAGCCGGCCAGGCCAGCGGGGCGGGGGGGAGCCGAAGACAAAGGGGAGGAGGACGAGGAAGAACTCCACTGGGGCGGGGGGGGGGTCCGGGAGCCAAACTACACTTCCCGGCATGCGCGGGGGCGGGGCGGGGGCGGGGCGCGGAGAGGGGGGGAGAAAGAGCGGAGCCTTCCCCTCCGACTCGGGACGCCGCTTCACCTGGAGGGGGCGGGGTCGGGCCAAGGCCCCGCCCCTCCCTCTAGAGGCGAGGCGGCGGCGGGACCGCTCAAGCCGGAGCCCGGGCAGGCAGGCGCGTGCCCGGAGCGCGTCCCCGCGGCGCCGCCGGGAGGGAGGGGGGACGAGCAGAAAAGGCGGGGGGGGCGGGGGCGCGCTCCCCGCCGACCCGCCCGCAACATGGCCGAAGTGAGCATCGACCGCTCCAAGCTGCCGGGAGTCAAGGAAGGTGAGGCGGGCGGGGGCCGGGCAGGCGGGCAGCCCGGAGGCCTCTCCCGGCGGCGGCCAGGCTGGACGGAGCGGGCGGGGAGGGACTTTGCCGAGCGGCCACTCCAAAGCCCATGCTGCGCGGGGGTCCCCCTCGGGCTAAGGCCGCGCCGGGCGGACTTTGCAGAGCGCCCACTACAAAGCCCATGGCGCGCGCGGGCGGGCCCCCCTCGGACTCAGCCCTGCCGAAGGCGGCGGACTTTCGGCCCTCCCTTTAGCCCGGAGAGACCGCGGGCCTGGCCCGGCCGCTCCTGCCCGCCTCGAGCCGCCGGGAGAGCCAGGACGGGCCGGGGCTGCCTTCGCACGACCCTGCCAACACCCGTGAACTCGCGAGCGCGGTCCCCGGAACGGGGTGGGGGGGGAAGGGGGGCGCCGCCGCCCGCCCAATCCTGGAGTCCAAGCCGGGGGTGTGAGCGGTGGGTGTGGGAAACCCTGACCCGGGTTGGTCGTGGGAAGCGGGACCGCTTCGGACCGGCCGGGGAGTTCCAGTAACCCGCTTCCGGCGCGGGTTACTTTGTAACGGATCGTTGGCAGCGGCGGGAAAGAGGGAAAGGCGCGTCGGCGGAGGGCGAGGACTGGCCGTTCCCGTGGGGGGGGGGTTCCGTGTGTGTGTGTGTGTGTGTGTGTGTGTGTGAGAGAGAGAGAGAGAGAGAGACCCCCGGAGAATCGGCCCCTTGGTGGATCTTGTTTTGATCTATATATGTGCACTTCTCTAGAGGTGTATTTATATTCGCATGTTTATAACTTGAAATTCAACTTCAAGGTAAGTCTGTGTATCTGTGTGTTTATATTTACACACACACACACACACACACACGCACACACACAAAACCTGTACATACACACCCCTTGAAATGGCAGAACTAGTCTGTCACTCTTCCAGACGACAAAAATCCCCTTCTCCATGTGACCGGGAATTTAGCCCAAAATCTCCCTGGCTAAGTGAGACGGTTCTTAAGTGGGCTTTGCCCCATTTTATGACCTTCCTCGCCACAACGGTTGTTAAGTGAATTACTGCGTTGGTTAACTAAGTAACCTGGTTGTGAATGGAATCTGCCTTCCCCATTGAATCGAGGCTAAAACATACAAGGAACGGCTGCTGGAATTGGGAATGAAGAGGGCGAGGGGGGACAGGATAGCAGTCTTCCAGTATCTCAGGGGCTGCCCCAAAGAAGAGGGAGTCAAGCTATCCTCCAAAGCGCCTGAAGGCAGGACAAGAAGCAACGGATGGAAACTAATCAAGGAGAGAAGCAACCTAGAACTAAGGAGAAGCTTCCTGACAGTTAGAACAATAACCAATGGAACAACCTGCCTCCAGAAGCAGTGAATGCTCCAACACTGGAAGTTTTTAAGAAGAGACTGCACAGCCATTTGTGTGAAATGGTATAAGGTTTCCTGCCTGAGCAGGGGTTGGACTAGATGACCTCCAAGGCCCCTTCCAGCTCTATTCTGATTGATTCTGATTGGTTGTTGGAAGGTGGCAAAGGGAGATATATGATCCCAGGATGCTGCAGCTGTCATAAATATGGTGCCAAGTCTCCAAATTTTAATCACGTGATCACGGGGATGCTGCCACTGTCACAAGTGTGAAAAGGCATTGTAAGTCACTTTTTTCAGTACCGTCGTAACTTGAAATGGTCGCTAAACAAATTATTGTAAGTTGAGGATTGCATACATTCAGGTGTGTTTCCCTTTGTGACACTGAAAAAAAGTGACTTAACAACCAGTCTTGGCTGGCTGAGGTATTCTAGGAGTCCACAAGTCCAAATTACCGATAGAATGACAGAGCTGGAAGGGACCTTGGAGGTCATCTAGTCCAACCCCCCTGCTCAAGCAGGAAACCCTACACCATTTCAAACAGGTGGCTGTCCAGTCTCTTCTTAAAAACTTCCATTGTTGGAAACATCCCATCTGTTGCAGGTCAACACGCTGCTGGGTTCTTAGGTTTTTATAGGAAGTCCTCGGCTTACAACGGTTCATTTAATGACCATTGAAAGTTACAACTGTGCTGAAAAAACCCTGACTGTTTTCACATGACATTTGCACCGTCCCCGCGGTCACGGGATCAAAATTCGGACGCTTGGCAACTGACCCGCATTTATGACCGTCGCAGTGCCCCCCCTAGGATCACATGATTCCCTGAGCAAAGTCAATGGGGGAAGCCAGGCTCAGTTAACAACGGTGTTACTGACTTAACAACTGCAGTGACTCACTTAACAACGGTGGCAAGAAAGGTCGTAAAATGGGGCAAAACGCGCTTAAGGCTTTATTGCTTACAAGCAAGCCAGAGTGACTGCGAGTGAACAGATGGCCGTATAAGTTTATCTGAAATGGTATAGGGTTTCCTGCCTGAGCAGGGGGTTGGACTAGATGACCTCCAAGGTCCCTTCCAATTTTATTATTATTAATGAATCCTGCAAATAATAACAGCTGTCTTGCATATTGTGGTCGTAAGTCGAGGACTGCATGTAATCAAGGAGTTGCTTTTGAAGGAAGAGGGGTTTCACTCTCTGGCTTTGCAAGATCTGCTTGCAATTTTTTTTTTGTTTTTTTGAGAGCAGTTCCTTCTCTTGATTTTCGGGAAACAGATCCTACTCTTGCTTGGGGCTTTGTTTATTGGGGAAATGATCTAAGAAGCAGGATCCCTTTCTCGTCTTCCTGACCTGCTTTGGCCTCTGGAGTAAGTAGCACAACTCAGCTCTTTATCCTTGTGCGGCTTTAATCCTTCCTGTAGGTGGGGGGCATCCAAACACACACAAAAAGGGGGGGCCCAAATCCTTGCACACCTGCCCTGCGAAGATCTCCCTCCAAGATACACTGCAGAGAGACCGTTGTGTTAGCCTCGGGTATCAAAAAAAACCCAGGCAGAAACTGGGAGCAGTTTTTCTGACTCACAAGAGTTCATTAAACCTGATAGTAAGCTTTTGTGAGTTGCAACTTCCTCAGATGTTAGATGGGTTAAGCTGATTGCAGATGGAGAATTTGTGTCTTCTAAGAACAAGATGTGGGTGGTGGCCTCCATCCAGGGTGATGACTAAAATAATGGCTACTATTTGCTTTATATATAGATATATATATATAGATATATGGGGTGGTTTGCATATCACCTTTTGCCCAGTTGCTTTTAACCATGTTCTGGATTTGCACAAAACTCTGGAGTAGCAAACTGAGTTTGCACAATACCGTAAGATCACAAAGAAGCCCCGAACGAGGAAGCTTCAAATTTTTTTGTTGGGAACGTGAAGTTTTACTGTGCTTTCAGAAAAGCTAGAACATTTTGGATTCGTATACAGGCGGATTCAGAAGATTCTAAAAAATAAATCAAAATATAATTGAGATCAGAAGTCTCTTTTGCGACTGTTTTGTTGGAAAAGGGACGTGGAATTTTGTAGATGAAAATGGCTGCGAGATTTATTTTATGGTCGAAGATGTTTGGCAATATCTATCATGGAGGTAGATGATGGAGAAGATGATGGAGCAGGGGTGGCTAAATTGATTTATTTGAGGAGAGAGAAGACAATATCTCTGTGTGTATTGCTGACTGGAAATCGCTTGTGGACCTTTTGCCGTAAAACAAAAAAAAAATAAATTTGTGATTTATGGTTTGGATGCCTAGACACAGATTTAGGAAGAAGACAGTTCATTTGTCACTTTAGAGAAAGAGGTAAATTTCTAATTGAATTTATAACTGCTCTAAAGATGGGAAGCCATTTATTTACATCCTTATTCTTTTCTTTTTTTCTTTCTTCCTTTCTTCCCTTTTAACTTTCTCTTCGATTTTTCTCTTTTTCTTTTTCCAACCTTGCTTTTTATTAGTTTATCTTTGCTTTTTATCTTCATTTCAAAAAGTTTTAATAACGGTGTTTTTTTAAAAAACAAACACACCAGGAAAAAAAAGGCAAAATAAACACTTTGCAAACTTGTTGTTTGTGTACACAAGCCGCTGGCTGGATCATCCTCAAACCTTTAACCCGTTTTCCCAAAATATGTTACACAAACTGTGTTCTAAGAGAAAAAGTTTGGGAAACTTGCATAAGCTAAAATGTAGAAGAATTTTTCTTACACTGAAGGGGTAAAGTTTTTCCTAATTGGTTTAGAATTAAATATAGAATAGAATAGAATAGAAATAACATTAGAATAGAATAGAAAATATGAATAGAATAGAACAGAATAGAATAGAATTACAGAATAGAATAGAATAGAATAGAGAAAAGGAATAGAATAGAATAGAATAGAATAGAATAGAATAGATACTGGAATATAGAATAGAATAGATACTGGAATATAGAATAGAATAGAATAGAGCAGAGCAGAGCTGGAAGGGGCCTTGGAGGTCTTCTAGTCCAGCCCTCCGGTCAAGCAGGAGAACCTGTACCATCTCAGACAGGTGACTGTCCAGCCTCTTCTTAAAGATCTCCAGTGATGGAGCGTCCACGATTTCTGGTGGCAAGCTGTTCCACTGGTTAATTGTCTTCGCTGTTAGGAACTTTCTCCTCAATTCCAGGTTGCTTCTCTCTTTGATCAATTTCCAACCATTCATTCTTGTCCTGGTACTTTGGAGAATATCTTGACCCCCTCCTCTTCTTTGTGGTAATAACTCTGGCGAGAAAGGTTGTATTCCCTTCACCACTATCTCATTTAGCAACATAAATTTTGGGCTTAATAGCAGTTGTAAGTCAAGGTCTACCGGTGTTTGGCTTGGCCCGCCACCTGGCTGCTCCGTTCCTGAATGCCAGATTCTATCTAGACATGGTGGGTTATCGCATGAAGTCCCAGCGTGTGAACTAGTCTGCAAACATACACAGCACACCCCCCACGCAGGGTTTCAGGGCGAGGAGCCGGCTGCAGAGCTGCCCCTCCAGGAAACCTTGCAGTTTATTTTTACAATGAATGCAAATTTCACACCAGGCTGCTCTGCTGAGGCCGGTTGCAAAACTTAAGCTCTGCTGATGAGGCTTATTC